CACATGCCTGGATTTTGGGCTTGATCCCCAGTAGGGAGCATGCAGGAGGCAGCCGATCAGTGATTCTCTCTCATCATTGATGTTTCTATCTCTCTCTACCTCTCCCTTCCTCTCTGAAATCAATAAAAAAAAAAAAAACTTTAAAAAAATTCAACTAAATTTGTTAAATTTAAGCTCTTAAAGTAACAATTTAAACTAAAATATGTACACCCTGAAAAAAGGAAGAATAAAAGAGGACAACACAGTGAACAAAATAGGAAAAGACTGAAATTTTTTAAAAGAACAAATGGTAAAAAAAAAAAAAAAATACTAGGGAGAACTTCAGTGCTTTTTCTGAGAAGAGAAATGCCAGAAGAGGATGCCTTCTATATGCCAGCTGCTTTATACACATTATCTTGTTGGATTCTCACAACCAGCCCTATTTTATAGGAGCGCAAACTATTTAAAACAGGGAAATAACCTGCCAAAGTGGGAAAGCAAAAGAGAACAAAATGCCATGTCTGACTGGCTGCAAAGATGATGCTGGGAAGGAACACTCTGAAGGAACAATGGGTTTGAAGTCTCCAATCAGGCAGCTGTCAGAAAAGGCTCGTGGACCTTGAGATGGGTGCCCTGAGAGGGAGCGATCTCCAGCAGGTTTTCCTACCTGAACGCCTCAGCAACAAAAACTGAGGATTCTATTCTATTTAGAGTGTTTGCAGTTGTTGGGACTTTCCATACAGCTGGCTCTTTTACAAAACAAAGCCTGGCCTGAGACATGGTTACCAAGTGAGACAGCTGTGGGGTGGAACTTGCATGTAGCCTCATCTGAGGTCAGTATTGAGCAAACGAGATCAGGCACATCTTGTAAAAAGCCTTGGTGATATTTACCAAAGGATGTGGCTGCCAATGTGAACAGCACAGCCTCAGTGGTGGGTAGCTTACAATGCCTGGAGGCAGGACATTCCCCAGTGGTGCTGTCCAGGCATTGGTAAGGAAGGACTTATCTGGCACAATTACAAAAACAATTCAGGTGCAGAGTTTGAAACAGAGCTGGCCCGAAAGGTTTGGAAGCGCAAAGCAGTTTTTTAATCCCTCTCCAAAATATGATGGCATTCTGTGAGGTGTCCCTCTCCCTCTTTGGCAGGGGAGCACACTGAGAGCAGGAAGACAGGAGTGAGTTATGCCGGAGTATTTACTGCACCCCAAGGCGGGCAAAAATTGGGACCTGAAAGTCCAACTTCCCAGGTGAGGGGTTTGCATTTTGGTGCCCTTGTTTACAACACCCAAGGGGTCTTGTACCATCTTTTCCTTTTTCATTCATTGGTCACAAATAGATATAAATAGATATAGGTATAGATAAATATAGAAATAGAGATAGAGATAGAGATATACTAGTAGAAATAGATATAGATATAAATATAGATATAGATATAGATATAGATATAGATATAGATATAGATATACTAGAGGCCGAGTACATGACATTCATGCACTGAGGGGGGGCGGTCCCTCAGCCCGGCCTGTGCCCTCTCGCAGTCCGGGACCCCTTGGGGGATGTCCGCCTGCTGGCTTAGGCCCACTCCCTGCAGGTGGACATCCCCCAAGGGGTCCTTAGTGGTGACGCTGAGGTGGGAGAGGCTACCGCCTCCGCTGCTGTGCTCACCAACTGTGAGCCCAGCTTCTGGCTGAGTGGTGCTCCCCCTGTGGGAGCGCACTGACCACCAGGGGGCAGCTCCTGCATTGAGTGTCTGCCCCCTGGTGGTCAACGCATGTCATAGCGACCAGTCATTCCCCTGTTAGGTCGATTTGCATGTTAGAGTTTTATTATATAGGATAGATATATAGATATATAGACATATATGTATGAGATATCAAAGGCACTTTACCAAATGCTAAAAATTTCAAAGAAGCAACAATCTTAGTCCTTGATGGCTGATATGTGCAGCAATCCTCCACTGTGAGCCTAGGAAATACTACATCTAAATTCTCCATGGTAGATTGGGAAAATAGAACTGATTTTATACACATAGATTCACTGTTATGTGAACACATAGGAAAAGAATGACTTTGGTCTGGAGGAGTCAAAGTATGCCTCAGAGGGGAGGTGAAGTATGAGTAGATGTTCATGGGAAGAAGAAAAGTAGATTCCAAGTGATAGGAACAGTCTACGCATGGCTTTGAAAATAAGAAAGGGCAGACATGTTTGAAAAATAGCTAATAATCCTGTATGCTGGATTGTGGGGTTAAGATTAGAAAAGTGACTAAGAGTCACATCATGCAAAATTTTGTGTGCTAACATAAGGCTAGAATTAATGCTGCAGATGAACAGATTTTAAAAAGAGGAGTGATGTGATTGTATTTTAGCTTTAGAAAATAATTGACTCAAATTATACATGGAAAAATTTTTAGAAAGCATTTATGTAAAATTTCTCTACAACTTACTGGAAATGACAGTGAGGAAATTAATAAAGGTGTAAACTCCAATGATAAAAGTATGGGAGAGGAGACATTAGACAAGAACTATCAGCTATGTTTTGGAAGATGGGAAGCTGAGAGAAGAGGAATAGCTGAATGAGCAGAACAGAGAAAGCTAATAAAACCTAAAAGCCTAATAAAACCTAAAAAGAGGAAGCCAAGAAGAAGCAAGATTAGTTGCTCTAAAGAGCTTTGGAAAGGTCAGGAATTTATGGTCCCTGGTGCTTATGAAGATGAAGGAATGGGTGGAGCAAGAAAACAAAGAATTAGTCAAAAGTCTGCATAAGTTATGGACCCTTCCCTTTGCCCCACAGCCAGGTGAGTATCTCTCCCCTGTCCTTGGAGAAAACAAGATGGTCCCTGGTGGTCAATGCATGTCACCATTGGAGATGCTGAACCAGCAGGGTTCTGGACTCAGTGACACCAGGGAGCTAAACAGAAATGGGATTCAATGACAGCCACATTCTGAAGGGTGAGAGTTAGAAACTTTCCCTTAGCTCCATGAATGTACTCCAAGCTTATACTCCCCATGGAGGAAACTGGCAAGTTCTTTGAAGAAAGTGACCTGCCCCAATAAAAAAAAAAAAAAAAAACTACCAATACTCAATACTGACAATACAATTAGGTACAGTCCCTACCAATACATGGAAGTCACCCAATGAATGCCTGGGTCCCACCTCATCACTCAACAGAGAACCTCACTAGATGGTAAGTCCTTCCCAAGTACAAAGGGCTTCCAGTCAACTTTTTAGTCCTGGACACCTAGATGTAAACAGACAGCCAAATATCCCCAGGTGTATAAGAAAATCCTCTAATAGAAAAGATTTAAAAATCAAAAGCAACTACAAATAAAAGTGGGGGGTGGGGAGAGAATAAACCATGGAGAAAAGAGAAGCAATGCAAGAAAAGAAAACTTTAAAGAAACTTTTTATTAATTAACAGTTATTGCATGCATTAAACAACAGGATGTAATAAAAAGAGAATAGTAAGTAAACAAGAAAAATATGCAAATTACAAATATATAAGTAGAAACAATTTTTTAAATTAATATAAAATAATTGAGAGGTAAAATTGAGAAAATCTTCCAGAAAGTAGTACAAAAATACAATAATAAAAAATAAAAACGTAAAATATCCACACCAAGGCATATCATTGTGAAATGTCCAAATATGAGGGATAGAGGAAATCCTAAATACTTCCAAAGAGAAAAACATAAAGAATCACAGTGGTGGTGGATTTCTTAAAAGTAGTACTGGACACTAAAAGACAATGGAGAAATGACTCCAAAGAAAGTACTTATTTTCTACCTATAGTTTAGCACCTGGACAAACTTTCATTTCTATATGACATTAGAACAGAGGTATTGCCAGGTATGTGAAGTGTGGCAGACACTACTCACACCAATATTTGTTTCCCTTTTTCTTCCTGGAATCCAGAAGGTTGCACTTCCCAGTTAGGCAAGGCCACGTGTTCTGATCAAGTGGCTGTGAGCAGAAGTGACTTGTGCCACATCCTGGCCAAAGCATTAAAGAGAGAGATGTGAGTGCCACGCTTTCTGAAGAGGCCTCATGTTGAGATGGTAGAGCCAGAGGATGGAAGCAGTTTGGATCACTGGAAGGCCAGAGGAGAGACAGCTGCCCTGCAGGGTTACCTGACCTCCAGCAGACTTGTCTGAGTCAGAAGAGACTTGATAAATGACACCATAAGTTGTGATGGTTATTTGTAGCATAGTCTGGCCTAACCAATACATAACCTACCAAAAATAATTCTAACTGCATCATTTCTCAAAAAGTTAGTGGCTACCCTGTGACCCAGCAATTCCACTCCTAGGTGATACACCCAAAACAAATGAGCACATGTGTTCAACAAAAGATGGGTACAAGACTATTTGTAGCAGCTGTAATCTATACTAATAAAAGGGTAATATGCTAATTAGACCAGGAGACCTCCCAGGACACCTTCTGGATATCCTTCCAAACAAAGCCATGGTGGCGGGGCAGAGGCAGAGGCAGTTAGGGGTGATCAGGCCAGGAGGGGAGGGCAGTTGGGGGTGAGCAGGCTGGCAGGGGGGGCAGTTGGGAGTGAGCAGGCTGGCAGGCAGGGGACAGTTCAGGGCAAGCAGGCCTGCAGGGAGGTGCAGTTGGGAGTGAGAAGGCCGGTGGAGAGGGGGGCAGTTGGGGGTGAGCAGGCCAGCAGGCAGAGTAGTTAGGGGCAATCAGGCAGGCAGGCAGGTGAGCGGTTAGGAGCCAGCAGTCCCAGATTGTGAGAGGGATGTCCGACTGCAGTCAGACATCCCTCAAGGGGTCCCAGATTGGAGAGGGTGCAGGCCGGGCTGAGGGACAACCCCCCCCACACACACACACAAATTTCATGCACCAGGCCACTAGTTATACTATAATATCCAAACACTTTACATTTATACTATATACCATAGTAAAAAGCAAACAAAAGAATAAATTACTGGTACATGCAACAACATGGATGACTCTCTAAACTTAATGAAGAGTAAAAAAAAAGCCAGATATAAGACTACATACCTTATGATTCTTTTATATGAAGTTCAAGAACAGGCAAACTATTGATGGTGATAGAAGTCAGACTAGCGATGGCCTTGTTGGGGGTGGTGGTGTAGGTATTATTAGGAAGTGACAGGAGAAATCCCTATAGAGTGCTGGAGATAGTCAATCTCTTGATCTGGATGGTAGTTACAAGAATAATTACAAAATAGTTATTGGACTGGACACTTAAGTTTATTACACTTTACTATGTTTGTTGTACCTCATCTAAAATAACTTTCTTAAAGAAAATAGAAGAGACTGGATCCACCAAAATGAGGGCATAAAGCCAAAAGCAGGAATGCATGGGATCCAGGTGACAGGCAATCCCCCGAGGGTCAGAGATAAAGGGGATTCCTAAAATTCCCAGGATGGCAGCTGTACAGCAGGCTGGGTTGCAGTCAGTCATGGTGGGAGGCAGAGGCAGAGATCAGAGAGAGAAGCATCTAGAAAAAAGGGAAAGGAAAAAGAAACTGATAGATTATCTCAGTGTTCAACTCTATTCAAGAGAACATCAGTATTCCATAGAAGAATTTGGGGAGGAATTAATGATAAACACATGAAAAACTAAACAACAACCAAAAAAAGAGGCTATCATTAATGAAAAAAAGTTACATAAACACATACTATATGGCTGAGCTTACATTTAGCCAAAATCTTGTTATACAATTATATTGGGAGGACGGGAAGTAGGAAGGCAGAGTGGGCAAGTGTGTAGCAAAGGGGTATGTATGGTAAGAAATCTGAATTATCATCAGCTGCAGAAGAACAGCTGTAGAGTGCCTACATTTAAAAAAGATAAGGAAATAGCTGCATATGCAAATGATTTAGAAATAAAAAGCAAAGAAAATAAACAGTTGAAAGTGTTGTGACTCAAAATGAAGAAGACAGAGGACTGCTATTCTTTATTGGCTTCTAAAACTACACACATAAAGTATTTCAGCACCTTGCTGAAGCAATTAAAACATATCTCAGAAAACTGCAAGACATTCTATATAATAAAAGCCTAATATGCAAATCGACCCAATGGCAGAATGACAGGTGGAACGACCAGTCACTATGACATACTGATACCCAGGGGGCAGACGCTCGATACAGGAGCTTCCCCCAGCCCGCAGGCCCCAGGCCAGCCAAGCGGATGCCAGCAGGGTCCCCAGTTTGATCGCCCCACCGGTCACCCCATAGATTGGCCCTGATCGCCGGCCAGGCCCAGGGACCCTACCCATGCACAAATTTCGTGCACTGGGCCTCTAGTTTAAAATAAAATAAAATAACTCATTCCAAAGCACATTTTGATTCTCAGCTCCATCACAGCTAATAGCATGATGATATTGTACCAGGGTTTAGAATATTTTAGATGTAATCACTTTTTGTCATGATTTTAAGTCCTGATTGTGCAATTTAAATGTGCCTTTAAAAAATTAGGTTCCATTAAAAGGAGCATGGTCCCATTAAAACGAGGCATCCGGTACCTAGAAGAGGCTAGTCCTGCAATTTCTGCAGGCTTAGTAGAGCCATAATGTGGAAAAAATAGGTACTGTATTTGTTAAGATGCAAACATTGTAGGGAATCAAAAACCTCAACTCAGTGTGGCTTAAAGAATAAAAAAGAGAATGTATTTCTTTCCTCTAAAGTGCTTAGAGGTAGAGAGATTCCAGACAAGACTGCATCAAAGAGGTCACCAAGTATCCAAGCCCTTCTGTTGCTTTCTGCTTCACACACCACAGTGTTGGCTCCATCCTGCAGCTGGCACCTTTCTTCATTTTAAGATGCTGGTACTGTCTGTTGGGGCTAATCTTTCCTCATTCAAGTCCATTGGGAAAGAGTGGGCATCTGTGACTGATGATGCCCAGCAAAAGTCTCAAATTTTTCCCATTGGACAGGCTTAGGTCACATGCCTACTATTGAACCAATCATTGGCCAGGAGAGGAATGCACTAGAACCCCTAGTGGACACAACCTTCCTAGATCCACACTGATGCCTAAATGGGAAGTAAGAGCTATTGGGAGAGGAGGCAGGGAGACAGATGGAGAAACAATTATAAATGTCCCCAAAGGTACTTAAAAAGGGAAGAAGCTCTGAATATGCTGGTATTTGCAAATGCACCATCTTAAGATTGTCATGCTATTGCTACCTCAAAATTCTCATTTTTTAAAATTCCTGTCGAAACTTGAAAAAGTCAAAAAGAGTGGTATTTTTGGAAGTGCAAATAGGGCCTTTGCCATGATAAGCTCTATGTAAGAAATAGCATGTCTCTCCTAATGGAATGAAGACTAGGATAATATAATGCTTTGGTGAAACAAAGGCTTTTTGTTTTTTATTTGATCTAAAGATAGGCAAACCCTAAGAAAGTCCCTAAATCAAATTAAGCCTGGGGGCACATCATAGCGTATCACGCTGTAAGCATGGTGATGGTAGAATCAAAAGAATTTGTTTAAAAGGTCAAAAGATGTAGGATTCCCCTGAGAGTCCTAGTTTAAGTCATTTATATTAAAAAGGGGAAAATAATGTTCCATCTCACTTAATGGTCATAAGAATCAAAACAGATTATTTTTTTTTAACTACATATGTATGAGGAGTAAGTATGAGGAGAATATGAATAACTGTGGAAGATTGAAAAGGCTGCCTAAGTTCAAAATTTAAGATCTTTTTCTATTCTGAGATAGTAGGAAGTCTGATAAATGTTGCACTTATCTCTAAGTATAAGGCACTTAACATATAAAATTGTGTAGTTGAGGGAAAAATTATACAACCTTTGACTCTTTTTATCACTCCTGAGGCCGCCTGCCTGTGTGGACACGGACATGTGATTTCAAGGGGCACCATTGCATCTACTGGAGGTCCACTGGAATTGCAAGCCTGGTCCCAGGAAGAAAGAAAGCACATCTCTGATGCTGGCCTTGCAAACTCAAATCAAATGGTGGTGGAAAATGTCACATAGTGGAAGAAAAACACAGAAGAATTCCATAATCTCAACAAACTTAAAAAAATATATTCTGGTGTGCATCTGGATTGAAGACAGACTGAGTGATCACTTTAAGATGTCTGAATTTCATCATTTGTATTCCATTTGTATTAGTTTGCTCAATATGTTTGCTGTAAATACTGCAGCTGCATATTTGATGAGCCCTCTTGTTTAGACCAAACTGCTGCCAGTAGAACCATAGTACTTAATTTGCTCTACTCTTAATCAGATGATTTATCTAATCAGATGACCTTTTAATTCATTGGCATTAAGATTGCTAAACAATCTTACATATGGTAGTAAGACTGTTATGGGAATATTTTTGTGTTTATCACAAGTCAATGATTTACAAATACGGGTGATATTTTAGACTGATTTTTAACATATATTTTTATTGATTTCAGAGAGGGAGAGAGAGGGAGAGAGAAATAGAAACATCAATGGTGAAAGAGAATCACTGATCGGCTGCCTCCTGCACTCCCCCTACTTGGGATCAAGCCCAAAACCCCAGGCATGTGCCCTGACCAGGAAATGAACCATGATCTCCTGGTTCATAGGTCGATATTCAATCACTGAACCACTCCAGCCGAGCTAAACCAGTGGTTGGCAAACTGCGGCTCACGAGCCACATGCGGCTCTTTGGCCCCTTGAGTGTGGCCACAAAGTTTCAATCGCACTGTATGTGCATGCCCGCACGTGGTATTTTGTGGAAGAGCCACCTCAAGGGGCCGCAGTTTGCCGACCACTGGGCTAGACTAATTTTGAAAAAAGAAAGAATGAATGGCAAGTGGATATAATTTACTTTGCCCACTATCTCACTTCACTCTCTCTAAAATGGGCAAATATTTAACAATAGTTTTGCAAAATATCTCTAGATTAATAGATATTCTAAAGCAATTTTTTTCTACTTTTCAACAGCACTTTACATTCAATGTTATGTATATCAGTTTCATGTGTACAGCATAGTAGTTAGACAATCATATACTTTACAAAGTGTTCCCTCCAATATTTCCAGAACCCACCTGACCATACAGTTATTACTAGGGGCCCAGTGCACAAATTCGTGCACCTTGAAAGGAACTGTGGGCTGCGAGGCTGCGGTGGGCACAGGGATGGGTCTCAGCCCATCCTCCATGCCCCCGCCCGGCTTCTCCAGCTGCAGCCCCTGGTCACCTGTCTGCCGGCAGCCCCACTCCTGCCAATGCCATTCCCATGCACTGATGGCACCGGCCCCACTCACACCTGTTAATGGTGCAGAGTGATTAGGACCGGCTCCAGCAGCGGGTGGGAGCAGGGCTGGCGCTGGCTGTGGGTGGGAGCAGGACCGTCGCGGGCAGCATATGTGAGAGGAGGCTGCCACCCCGATCGCCCCTCAGGAGCAGAGGGAGGTGGAGAAGCCCTGAGGGGTGATGGGGGCTGGCAGGCGCTGCTCGCATCCGCTGATGGTGCCTAATGATCGGGGCCAGCGCTGGGCACCAGTTGTGGGCGCGAGTGGCAGCTCTGACGCCAGCAGCGGGTGTGAGCACCGGGCGGGACCACGACACACGGGAGCAAAGAATTTTCAGTAACCACCAGTGGCTCTCCCTGATGACAGCGACTGGTGCCCTGCCTTGGTCTGGTGCCCCCGCTAACCTGCTCCACCATCCCACCATGACCAATGCCTGCCATGTTCCACGCTTTGCCACCTGCTGCCGACACCCGCCATGTTCCACGCGCACCCCCTGGTGGTCAGCGCACATCATAGTGACAGGTTGTTTGGTTATTCAGTTCTTCGGTTGTTCTACTGTTCGGTCTATTTGAATATTAGGGTTTAATATATATAGATTATTGGCTACATTCCTTATTCTGTACTTTACATCCCCATGACTATTTTGTAACTACCAATTTGTACTTCTTAATCCCTTCACCTAGTCCTCCAGTCCCCCTCCCTCTGGCAACAACCACTTTACTCTCTGTGCCTGAGTCTGTTCATATTTTGTTCATTTATTTTGTTCTGTAGATTCTACATATAAGTGAAATCATATGGTATTTGTTTTCCTCCGACTGACTTATTTCACTCAGCATAATACCGTCCAGGTCCACCCATGCTGTCACAGCTGGTAAGATTTCATTCTTTTATATAGCCAACTAATATTTTATTGTATATATGTAACGAACTTTTTAAAAATATTTTTCAATTTATTACAAACATGAATAATTTATAACAATTTTATTTTTGTGTTTGTATTAAGGTGGTAGAATTAATCACAAACCAAATTCAAAATGTACTTCCAGGTGCTTTAGTGACACAACTTTGACCCCAAACACACAACTCTTCACAAAGTTTTCATCAGGCAAACACGGCAGATATTATAAAAATGGCCAAAGTCAGTAAAGACATAATTGTCTGGCTTCATAATAAAGATAATGATAATAGATCCTACTGAACTCTTACCAGGACTAAGCCCTGTGCTAGACATTTTAAAAAATAGGGTTTGAAAAATATGATTTCCCCTACTTTACCAGAAGGGGATACTGAAGCACAAAGAGGCTAATTAACTTGGTCAAATCCACAGTTTGTAAGTGGCGGAGGTAAGGTTTGAACCCAGGCAGTCTGAATTCAAGGCCCATACCCACAATGACTCCACAGTGAAGCTAAGACTGCCAGTAACTCATGGGTTTTATTCTGGGTTTTCATATTCTTTATTTGAAGGTTTTTGTTTTGTTTTTTAAATTTTTTTTTTATTATTGATTTTTTACAGAGAGAACAGGAGAGGGATAGAAAGTTAGAAACCTCGATGAGAGAGAAACATCGATCAGCTGCCTCCTGCACACCCCCCCACTGGGGATGTGCCCGCAACCAAGGTACATGCCCTTGACCGGAATCGAACCTGCGACCCTTGAGTCCGCAGGCCGACGCTCTATCCACTGAGCCAAACCGGTTAGACTGAAGGGTTTTTTAAAAAACATTCTGGTTTTTAATTTTTAAAATACTTTTCATTTTTATTATGTCAATTATAGCTTTACATTGAAAAGTAAAAAAGGTGATAAATCAATTTCTAGTATTACTGTACTTCAGTTTTATTTCTATAAAAGAAAGATAATAAAATAGTGTTTTGTACTACAGTATAGGAAAGCATAGGTATGTGGTATAAATGGAATAAATCTTGATACTATTTAATTCTCAGTGCAGCTCTGAAAAAGAAGACATACTTTATGACAATGAACAATAGAGGGAAGTTTGATGGCAAGTTTAAAACAATATTAAATTGAGTTTATAGTCTGTGTTTCAGACCTTTAGAGGAAAAGCACTTCAGACCAGAATGATAAATGGGTCTTTTCAGTCCTCAATTTTTTACTTGTTACTACCTATCATAGGCTCTTTATTATAACACTATTTCTAGACTAAAAAGAAAAAACAGAGGCCTGGTGATATTTTTTATCAATTTCTACCTGCTTCAGATATTTAGAAAAAAATTGTTAGCTGAGATTTTCAGAAACTCATCCTCAAATCAACCCAATCTGCTTTCTTCATGTTCCCTTTAGTTCTCAACATTTCAAGATAAATATTTAGCAGTTGTCAATCTTTAAAAGTAAGGTTTTTAGTCTCAGAATGTCTACACTGTGAAAAAATGGAAGACAAGTCAAAAGACAGAGCGAATGCTATCAAATAGCCACACTTTAAAAAGGGTGGGTGTGTGTGGGGGGGGACCCTTGGTTGAGACTTTTGATTTTGGTGGTTTTTACATTATAGAATCCATTTGACCAAAATTTCGATGTAAAGATTGAGCCAGAAAGATATTTCTTCTCTTCTAACAGTTAGTATTGCCACATAATGTATGTTGGCTTGAAAATACCTTTTTAAAAATATGAATGTGTTAGAACACAGTAAATAAAATGTCTTTGTTCAGCTAGGTCAAGTTGAGGAATTATGTAAGTTTAGTAGCAGCAAGACGTTCAAGCATTCATCGGTTTAATAATTTTAGTAAGTCAGTTAAAAAATCTATCCCTGTTTCTTATTTGTGATGTTTGGGGAATGAATGTGCTGATAATTCTTTCGCAACTCTCACATGCATGCAGCAGGGCCGGTTTTAGGCTTGGGACCCTATGAGGTACTAAAGCAAGCATTCACTCTCTCACACTTGAGGTCACAAATTTTTGCAAGTCAAAAATGGTGAGCATGCCAAAAACATCACAGCACACACTACCAAATAAAAGAACACTGTTATTCTTACAAGGAAAGGTTTGACAAGACAGGAAATAGGCCGGGTCAGCGAAGTTTACTTAATACTGAGACTTATTTAACCATCCTGAAGCCAAAATACAATGACAGTTAAAAAAAATAAACAAATAGCTGTTACACAAAACAAAACCCCAGGATACATGGTCTCTACTAGAGCTGATTATTAGATTTTGAGCAAATACAGGAAGTGGATAACCCCAGGGAGCCCTCACAGAATTCCTAGCCATCTTCCCCATTTACTTCTGTCACATGCCTTTCCCTGAGATAATGTGGATTAAAACAGTTTTAATTTCGTGAGTAGAAATATGAACCCAAACAAAAATTGGCCTTAAAAATGCTCCAAAATAATTTCAGGAAAGGGCAAGACTTTCAAACGGTACATTCTCCTAAAAATGGGGAGAAAGAAAAAAGAAAATGGAAGATAGGAAAAATGTAGCGGTTCATTACAATTTTCCATTTTTTTTTGTTTAAACACAGCAGGAGGGCAAAGCTGCTGGCTTCTCTTCGTCCTCCCAGATGCCAGGAGGGATTGTGCAAAGCCCCGCAACCACCCCGGTTTTCCTTAAAGTTATAATCATTGTTCTCCTGTAATGACTGCTGCCTGCTTTCACTCAAATGTGACTGCAGCTTGTTTTCTGCCAGTCTGGATCCTCTGGGAGCCATGGACTCATAATTGCAGATAAAACTGTTTTTTTTAAAAAGAACTTTATGTACCACATTGACAAAAAAGCAAACATCAAGTGACATCTAGTGGATGTCTCTATTATTTTCTAAAGCCTCTAGCAATATTCTCAGCAATAGATTGTCTTAATATTGCTTATAGTTTTTGTTTCTCGGAGTCTCTGTCTTTTCCTAAAACAGAAAGGCAGATTATCAGATAGAAAAGATGTCATTTTCTTTGGTGGAAGAAAAAACAATATTCTCTTCCATTAGCATCTGAATAACAAGTCTCAAGATAAAATATTCTGGAAATAACTCACCTGTAACACATGCTACAAGTGTGCAAAAAAGGTGTATTCAACATGGGACACATTTGGGCCATTATCAACTATGTAGACGGTTCTTAGATAATGAAATATCAAGTACCAAGTTTCTCTGTTTATAAAGTTAAAGGTAATTACTAATCTGGCAAATCTATCTTTAGTCCAACTCTTGTCCCCATTTTCCATTGTTGTTTGTTTTTGTTGTCATTTCCCCCTTGAGAATGCTGGGGAGAATTATGTGAGTATCTAGGTCCACTTTCCATAACTCCTGGTAATGTTTGCTGGTTCACCACAAGTTATTAAAGAAAAGTAACTTACCCAGGGTTACAGAAAGCGGCTGAAAACTTAATTGGGGTTGGGACTGTTCAACAATTCCTCTCCGGCGACTGCATGTGCCTGGAAGGCTTTGTGGAGAATAAATGCCTTGCGTTGATGTCTAGAGACTGCATTTGTGGAAGAGACAGAAAGGGAAATTGTTGAGTGAAAAATTGAAAGATGGTGTTTAAATTTAGTATTTTCTTTCAAGGAAAGGAAACTTGGAATATGTAACCCAGATGTCAGCTGTCTGGCTGTCCCCAAGTCTTCCAGTCTTTTAGAGTTATTCTTCATTTCAGTAATAACTAACACACACACACACACACACACACACACACACACACACACACGGCCCTGCATGCAGCCCTCCTCTAATTTCCTATAGAAACTAGCATCCCCTCCTTCCCAAGAATTCACGGAAGCTCTGCATCAAGCTTCGTAGGACTGTCTTGTTCTCCGCCCACTTTAGCTGGAATGCCGGCATTGTCGTTATTAGCCCTCCTCCGAAGACCGCTGGCACTAGAGCAGTGTACGGGGCCATCTTTATTGAAGTTTGGGTAATAGGAGGGAAGAGACATCATGGCTCAGCAAACAGATTAAAGCGTAATCCATGCAGTGATACAATGTCTTGGATTTGTTTCAGAACAATTCATTGTGGGAATACTACTCAGCCATAAAAAAAGATGAAATATTGCCATTTGCAACAACATGGGTGGATCTTCAGGGTGTTATGCTAAATGAAGTAAGGCAGAAGGAAAAGGACAAAAAAAATATGATTTCTCTAACTAACAAAACAAACAAAAGCTAACTCAGAATTCAGATAACACAATGGCGGTTACCAAAGGGGGAGGTGAGTGGAAGGGCAAATTGGGTAAAGACAGAAGAAAACTAGACTTTGGGTGGTAAGCATGCAATAGAGCATACAGATACTCTGAGTTATAATGCTGTGTACCTGAAATGTATATAATGTCATTAACCAATGTTACCTCAATAAATTTAATTTCAACATTAAAAAAATAATTTATTGGGGGTTGGGAATGAGGGAGTACGTAGGGATGTGGAATAAATAAAATCAGCTGTGAGTTGCTAATTGCTGAAAGTGAGTGCTGAGTGCATGGGTTCACTATACTATGCATTCTACTTTTGTACCTGATTGAAATTTGCATAATAAATATTTAAAAGAATAACTTCCCTGGTGATCCCTGATGCAGGAGCTTTCTCACTGGCTCCCACCCCTTCTCCTATTAGCCTCCTACCGCATTTGGGGACCTCTCCCTGCCTCTCCTCCTTCCCAGACTGCCCTGGGCTCTGGGACCCACTTTAATACCTGGGTAGCCCATGAGAATGGTTTGCTCACTCTCTAAAAATAAAGAAATCAGTTTTCACCCTAAAAGGAATTCTGCCCCAGCTTTACAAAGCACCCCATTCAGGTAAAAGCAACACGTTAGCATAGATAGCATTTCAGATTAGTTCTCTTCCTCCTCCTATTTGTATTCTAACTGTTAATTGTCTAACAAGGATTGACTCAGGGAATTATAACAGGACAAGTAGGTTAGTCTTGGGGAGAAAGCACAAGTCAAATGTGGCAAAGAGGTGGTTATTTTGCATCTAAATAAAAGATATGCAAGGTAGCCCTGCCTGGTGTGAGCAGCCCTTGCTCGGAATGGTGGCCTGCTTGATTCCAGGTCAGGGTACATGCCACACCCCATTCAGGTAAAAGCAACACGCTAGCATAGACAGCATTTCAGGTTAGTTCTCTTCCTCCTCCTATTTGTATTCTAACTGATAATTGTCTAACAAGGGTTGACTCAGGGAACTATAACAGGACCAAGTAGGTTAGTCTTGAGGAGAAAGCACAAGTCAAATGTGGCGAATAGGTGGTTATTTTGCATCTAAATAAAAGATACGTAAGGCAGCCCTGCCCGGTGTGAGCAGCCCTTGCTTGAAATGGTGGCCTGCTTGATTCCAGGTCAGGGTACATGCCAGGGGTGCAGGTTTGGACCGTGGTTGGGGTCCTTACGGGAGGCAACTGATCGATGTTTTCTTCTCTGTCTCTCCCTTCCACTCTCTCTAAAATCAATGAAAACATTTATTTAAAAAAAAGACATTGTGTCATACATAAATAAAGCTATCTTAAAATAAACCATATAACTTTCCCTCAGCTACTCATCTCTACTGCAGTAGCCCAGCGGCAGGCAGCTAGCACAGCCAGCCCATCCGAGGTGCCCTGAACCCCCATGTATTTCCGTGAGATGGGAGAGAGGCCCAAGGGCAGGCGGCCCAGCCCGATTAACCAACCTTTCTCCTATCTTAGCATCAACTGGCAGCTGCTCCTTTAACTTAACTTTGTCTACTTTGGCCTAAAAAATACAGGCTTTGCTCACTACAGCCCTGAAGTCAGCTGAGGTGAATGTTCATCACCACCCCCTCCGTCACCCCAAAGGTGTGCTTCTTAAAGAGAGGCAGAGAAGTTATGTACGGAAAACAGTGTTTCACTTCAAACACATGCGGGGGCAGACGGGGAGAGTCACTCTGGATTACACTAATAATGTAAAGGTGGGACTTGTGTCTGCTATTCCCCCTCCTTTTTAAATATATTTTTATTGATTTCAGAGAGGAAGGGAGAGGGAGAGAGAGAAACATCAATGATGAGAGAGAATCATCGATTGGCTGCCTCTTGCACGCCCCCCACTGGGGATCAGCCCACAACCCAGGCACGTGCCCTGACGGGGAATTGAACCGTGACCTCCTGGTTCATAGGTCTACGCTCAACCGCTGAGCCACGCAGCAGGCTGTCCCCTTTCAACATTTCCTGGAGGGAGGACAGGGACTGAGCTTTGCAGGGAGGGAGGGAGCGGGAGCTGTGGCTTCTGCAGCCACTTGCCAAACGCCTCTAATCAAGGGACTGGGAAAAGTGGACGTGTTAGGGTTGGCATGTGCCATTGTCCCCAAGCACATGTGAGACAATGTCAGCACTTACTTCTGGCTCTAAATTGCAAAAACACTTCCTCTCTTTCTGCCAGGACCATTCTTCCTCCCACTCACCCCCGGAGTCTGACACAGTTTCCATTCCAAGGAGACCTGGTAATGATTCCAAGGAGACTGGCTAACATGTTCCCGTGACAGCGCTGGCGGGCGGCGAGAGAGGGCACGGGATAAGTTTAGGCTGAAATGAATTAGGAAACATTTTCAAGTTGCTCTTTGAAGCTTTTATTGCCTTATCATCAAACGGCTTCTCTTCTGTGGCTGTATATTGATTTTTTTCTGACGATGAAAAAGTGTTTCATCTCTTCTATGATAATCAAATAGTCTCAGTTAACGGTAGCCTTTTTTCTGAGCCATATTATTCCACATATAATAGAATTATCCCACAGTCCCCATCTCCCAGGACTGCCATTCAGCATTAGTCTCTTTCTAATATTATTTTTCCTATCACCCCCCACAATAGAACGTCTCCGTTCCAAACATACAGCTGCAGGGGATTATATCATTATTTGCCTTTGCTCTAGTCAAAGTATTTTATGGGAGCTTCCTGTCATTTGTCCTGATCTATGCTACTATTTATCAAAACATCACCTCTGAAATTGCCTGCTTCTCTAAGATGCCAGAAAAATATATTTCATGTCAAATACAAGTTAAGCCATTATAAATCCCACTGGGGTTTCAAAATGGGGCACACTTGGGATTTTATTTTCCTCTAAGAATAATGCCCTTCCTAATACTTGTAGATGAGTATACTGTCATAATATGTCCCCAAAGCCCCTGCCCCATTAGAAAATCGTCACAAAAAAATGTGTTTCTTTCCTACATACTTGTGCGGTGTATGAGAAGGCTGACCTCATGTTTGGCTCAGTGTTCATCCCTGAGTGGGCAGTGGGTTAATATCTTTCCTGGGTGGAAAAGGGGGTATTAGACCCAAATCAGGAACTCTGGAGTCTGGTCCTACAACTGCTGTAGTTTGGTAGTTCCCATGACATCACGCACATCTTAGCCTCCCTTTGTCTCAGGTAGTCATTTGTAATCTTACAATGTCTTAAGTCACCCTAGAAAGATTATTTACAACTTCACCGTTGCATTTTCTTGCTGTCATTTCCATCCATCTTTCCTTTGCCATCCTCTGTGCTCATTATCTGGTGTTTTGACAATGGCTTCTTGAACTTCTTTGTCACAGACATTTAGTTTAATAGCAATCTTGTCAAAGCTCAGCTCAGATGTTTTGTTTTGTTTTTCAGAGAGGGAGAGATAGAAACATCAATGATGAGAGAGAGTCATTGATCAGCTGCCTCCTGCATGCCCCACACTGGGGATTGAGCCCACCACCCAGGCATGTGCCCTGACCATGACCTTCTGGTTCATAGGTCGACACTCAACCACTGAGCCACGCCAGCTGGGCTAATCTTACTTTTTGCTCCAAGTTATTCTATGGCTGGCCATTGCTTCCCTGGTATTTAACTCCAAAGTGGACTTGCAATGTACCATTCCAAATAGTTAGCAATTTCCTACACGTCCTTTATACTCTAGTCTATTTGAACTTTGGTTTTGACAGTTTCTGAATGTGCCTTCTTTGTATTTTCAAGGCATATCACATACTACACAGATTTCTATATTTGTCTAGAATTTAGATGGCAACCTTCTAGATAATAACCTTTCCAAGGATAGTTGCTAGCATTTATTGACCAAATATTTTTTCCCATGGACTGTGTGAGATATTTTACATTCATCATCTCTAGATTTTCTAATAATGTTAGATGGATAGTATTATCTGTATTATTCAGATGGGAAGTCATAGACTCAAAAGTGGTTAAATGATGTCCTCAAGCAATACAGCAAGCATGTGACCACTCACATGTTAGTTGTTTGACCTGTATCATCTAGAACACTAAATGGAATAGTAGTCAATAATATTGTAATACCTATGCACAGCGCTAGGTGGGTACTGGACTTATGGGGGATCACTTTGGAAATTATATAAATGTCTAACCACTATGCTGTACATTTGAAACTACTATATACTAATATTTAATGTCAACTCTAACTAAAAAAAATTTAAAAAACATAAAAACACTAAAGTGAATGAATCATGATGCTGGCACTTGCCCAGCAAATGTAGCTGGGCAAATTTAAACATGAATGAATGTAAAATGATGTTTTTATACCTTAAATGCAGCCCCTTCACATTAGATAACTGCCACCAGGTGGCAGTGGTTCGCTACAGCCATAAAGTCTGGTCTCAAGATTTACAAAAAAACGGAATAGGAGAGCAGGAAAGGTCAGGGGAAATTATTTGATGCACTCTCCTTATTTTATGATAAGAACACTGAGAATCTGTAAGGCTATTCAGATTATTCAGATCTTTTAGTTAGTCAAAGAGCAAAACTTAAACGTGGGTCTAAAACTCCCAAAGCTAGTATTTCTTCATTATACACACTTGTATTTTTTTTTTTCTTCAAAACTTACAATTTATAGTTATAACTTCCCCATATTTTCAATATTAAAATATTCATTAAAATAGCAAATGTGATCAAAATTAAACAAAAAATTTATTATAAAAATCTAAGCATTTCAAAACAAGTAATATGGCTTTTGTGTAAAAAAAAACCATGTTAAAATATAGTTAATGCAAAAAAGGAAAAAATTACATTTCTAACTAGAGATAATTATTATTGGGTATATATTTTCCCAGAGGCTTTTTTTTACTCATCTGTAAAATCCATTTTAAAAAATTGGACATAATTTTCATTTTAAAACTAGAGGCCTGGTACCCAGATTCATGCACTGGTAGGGGGCATGGCCTGCGGGGATCAGCCTGCTGTGGGAGCGCCGCTCACCCCGGTCAGTCGAGCAGCTGTGGACCCACCCTCTGAGTGGCTGCTCCCACTGTGGGAGCGCACTGACCACCAGGAGGCAACTCCTGTGTTGAGCGTCTGCCCCCTGGTGGTCAGTGCACATCATAGCGACTGGTTGACCAGTCATTCTGGTTGTTCCACCCTTCAGTCACTGGGCTTTTATCTATACTAATAAAAGAGTAATATGCTAATTAGACCAGGAGACCTTCCAGACATCCTTCCAGGCAAAGCTGGGGGTTTGGCCGGCCTGCAAACTGCCCCCAAACGGCCCTCAGCCCCTCACCCAGGCCGGCCACGCCTCCCAGCAGGGACCCTCACCCTGATGGGGGCGTGGCCAGCCTATAAATGGCTCTCAGCCCCTTGCCCAGGCCGGCCACATCCCCCAGCGAGGACACCCACCCTTGATCCGGGACCCCTTTCAGGGCAGACCAGCCGGCCCCCACCCATGCACCAGGCCTCTATCTATACTAATAAAAGGGTAATATGCTAATTAGACTGGGAGGCCTTCTGGACATCCTTCCAGACAAAGCCATGGTGGCGGGGCCAAGGCAGAGGCGGTTAGGGGCGATCAGGCCAGGAGGGGAGGGCAGTTGTGGGTGATCAGGCCAGCGGGGGCGGAGGCAGTTGTGGGTGAGCAGGCTGGCAGTGGGGG